ATGGTGATTTTCGGCCAGTTGGGCAAGTTTCCGATGATATTAATACCGGGAGGCGGGTGGATGATATCAATGGGCGGTGGCATGGGGCCGTAGATGCCCGGCGGCAGAATCCAGCGCCAGGATCGGACGCTGACCTCATTCCAAGAGATACAGAAGAAGAAGAACCAGGCGGTGCAGGGCACAAGAACGCTGTCATCATCAGGCTTGGGATCATCGACCTCCTCTTCCGAGGGGATGATTGATCCGTAGCGTGGCCACTCCGTGAAGAGTGGCAGCGGTCCATCGGTGGTGGTGGGAGACCCGGTCTTCCAGGATGTGACGAGGGAGCAGTCAACGCTAGCTACAGCCGTGGCGGGTCCGAGGAAGGTCAGGATGCGAGTTGTCGGGCACGCAAAGTTCAGAGTCAAGTCTAAATTCTCGGTACACGTCGTCGCCACGACGACTTCCGGTGTTTTGAAAGCGATGGCCGTGGAACGGGGACAGTCAATGGTGATGACTCCAGTCGAGCCCGGAAACGTCACTGTCGTGACTGTAGCGCCGGGCACCGTGATTGTGCTGCTGAGGGGAGTGTAGTACGTCGTGCTGGAGGGGAGACCTGAGCCGCTGGGCGGAGGTAAGGTGCCTGGATTTGTATACCCGGTCGACGGACCTCCATTAATAAGGGGCCAAGGTGGAAGGGGAACCACACGAGTGGTAGAGCCGCCCTCTCCATCCGGTAATGTGACGGTAGCATCAGGGACGCTTATGCTAGGATATATGGTGATGGGCATTGCTCCCGACGATGTTACGTTCACGTTGGAGAAGGGCATGCCGTCGGTGGTAATTGCTGGTACCGAGACGGTCACAGTAGTAGTGGAAGTGACGAAGATGGTGGTGGCAATACCGCCAATGGCAGTGCTTGAGAACCCTCCATGCTCCAGCGACGTGACATAGTCGCCGGGACTGATGGTCGTTGTTGAACCTAACGACTTCGTAGGAATGACCAGCATGCAGGATCGGGACGCGACCGGGCAACTCACTGTGGGAGAGGCCCATACTTCAGTTCCAACCCACACAATGTCGACGCTATCAGACCCTGGAAGCGGCACCCATACGCTGACCTCGGTTGTAAACCCTCGCTGGTTGTCTTCCTGGGGGACGTTGGTGTTATCGATGCCACTGGCTATGTTGATGGTTGCTACTGTGAATAGGTTGTAAATGACGACGCCGGTCGAGCCCTTAACCTCCAAGATCCGGTCCTGGCAGTTGTGAGTAGGAATGCAGTCCTGATAGTACTCGTTGAAAAAGCTGTACAGTCCAGCCGCGTGGATCAAGACGTCTTTCGAGTCAATGATTTGCAAGCCCCAGGCGTAGTTACACCGGTCATCCCAAACGTTCGGCGCGATCTCACACTTGCTGAAGTCCGGATCATTGGGGAAACCAGCGCGTGGGGCCGCATGGAAAGGAGTAGGAGGGCCAGGGTTGGGTTGGTAATACGGCGACTCAGTCTGGATGTGACCCATGTACACGCTCTCGGCACCGCTGAGAAGATAATTGTAGAGGACTGAGTGCTCCGAGCCGCCGCCGTAGAACCACGACGGGCCCTTGGACTCGATGAGCATGCCGCGGGCCCCAAAGACGGTGATCTGCGTCGAGCTTGAGTCGGGCTGGTTGTAGATGGACTTGTCGTTATCATGGTCCCCCACCCACGCCCACACGTTCTCGAAGTACCCGTTGGCCTGGGAAGTGACGCGGAACATGAGCGAGGCAGCGACGCACTCGGCCTTGATGCTGAACTTGGGGCATTTGCTCAGATCGAGATCGGTGCCCAGCGCGCCGCCGACGCGGAAGTGCGAATCCCACATGGCCGCCGCGCCCTGCTCCACGGCTGCGACGTTCCACTCCATCAGGATTGCACCGGCCGTGGCCCCGCGCACCGAGAAGAGCATCTCGGTGATCTCCATGGTGCCCACGTCGCCCTTGTTGCCGACCTGAACCATGACTTTGGGGTTCTGTATGTCACTGAAGTAGAAGCCCGAACCCAGGATCTGCGACCACAGAGAACCCTGAACGACGGAGCCGGTGGGGATGTTCACCGTGGATCCAACCGTGTAGACTCCTGCTGGGAAGTAGGCGATCTGACGGTTGTCCGCGGCCTTGCGGAGGAAGTTGTTGATGCAAGAGGCTTGATCGCCGGTGGCATCGTTCTTGCATCCACCATCCGTAGTCGCCACCAGAAAAGAGCCGGCGCCGGTCTTCTCGTACTGGGGCCTTGAACGCACGTAGAGCAAGCCGCTGGAATCATCCAGGCCCTTGCCCCTTCCAGGAGCGGAGAACGCGCCAGTCTCAGTCGAGCCCTCGGAGCCATTGTATCGCTTGCCCGTGGCCCATAAGTCAGAATTTCCAGACAACAAGTTGTTTCCGCCTGTACTCCTGACGGAGTTGGCCACGTTATTGAATTTGGTGTTGTCAAGGACAATGTTGGGCGACGTGGATAAGCTGTTGGTCAGGACGCCAATATCCACGTCGCTGATGGTGGAATCGACAATAGACACGCTGCCTATACCCTGGCCGCTATCACCACCAACCCCTGAGATATTGAAACCGATAGATCCGCCGTTGATGGTGATCTGATGCCAGTTCCAACCCCAGTCCCAGACCATTTGCACGGCAGTATTGCACTGGTTGAAGACGAGGTTACGCGCCGTGTACTGCTGAGACCCTGCTCGCCAGCCGATGTTGCCGCCGTTGAACTCAAGGTCAGACACGAACCCGCCACTGCCATTCTCCGTGAAGATGCCAACAGCGGTGGTCGAGCTCGTGGTGGGCATGTCGAACACCAGGTTCTGTAGCGAAGTGGCCTGGGACACCTGCCAATGGATACCCGTTGGCACGAGGTCCTGGTCATTCTCCGCTGTCGAGTCGGGCATGTCGGTCAGGTCGAAGCGGAAGTTGCGGATCTGACGAAAGAACTGATTCTGGTTGATGTACCACTGCTGGCCCGAGGCGCCGGGAATGTAAGGATCTACGTCGAACAGGGCGATTCCCTGGAAGTCGTCGCAGCCTTTGATGATGGGCATGTCGTTGGGGTCGCCAACGAACTGCGTGTAGTAATATTGGATGACGGGCGTACAGATCTTATAGGTACCTCCCGGGAAATAGACGATAGCGCCCTGCGAGAATGTGTTTCCGCATTTCTCACCGCATCGCGTCCGGTCGCCGCCGACGGAGTCTTTGTTCCAGCTGGCTGAGGCCGCGTTTAGCGCCTCAGTTGCGTCCGACTCTCCTGAGTTGTCGGCGCCAAAGTCGTCAACAACGTTGCGGAAGAACTGGTAGCCGTCTCCGCCAGCAAATGGTTGCTGTTGTTCACAGTCAGTTGGAGAGACACACGTTAAGACGGATCGCATTCAGCTTACTGTTCCCAATGGTCCTAAACTAGACAGCCAAAAGTCGGATGACTGCCGCTTTTTGGGGGGCGCCTTGAATCTTGTTCGCTTGATGGTGCTGTTAGATCCCGCGCCGTCGTAGCCGCCGCGGAGCACGACGCCGCTCTGGAGGTTGGCCAGGTATGTGTTCAGGCTGCCCGAGTAGGCCCATACTGGGCCATTCTGTCTGCCCTTGTCTGGCGCGGTCTTGTAGTAGTTGTGCTGGTTGTCAACCATATACGCCGGCGCCGGCTATGAAGCAACTTGTTAGCGTTGCCCATCTCAAGCACGAAGAAGAGCCACGGCATACCCGTGGACCATGATCAAGATTGGTCCCATTAGAAGGCAAAGTAGTGTTTTGTCCGCGAAACGTTATGGCTGATAACACGAGGCTCCCTTGGGCGGCCAGCAAAGTCAAGAAAAGAGCAAGTAATGCCGCCATGGTGCTCTACCATCTCAGCCCGAAGAGCAGTGTGTCAATGAGGCATACGAAGAGGTGCGAGGCGACTGAGAGAAAGACAGGAAGGATGTGACTCTTGGGGGAAGGCAATTCGAATTTCACCAGAAGACATGCGAACATGAATAACACCACGTCAAGTGGCAAGTCCCATGAAGGAACGCGGAGACCCGGTTGTGCGAGACACAAGTCCCTCGCGCAGCTGCCTATCCAGTACTTGCCAAGAGTCCGGTATGCCTCGCGGTATTCGGACAGACACTATCGCGTCTCAGCTGATGAGATGAAGGTCAATCTCCAGGCTGCAGCCTCGCTTCGGAGTAACCATCCTATGTCTAGTACCTTTTAGGCTTGGGAGGAAGCCGGATCGTGAGGCTTGAGTTAGACTAGCGACTCCTGCATGAATCACTTCTTCACAGTCGTATTTGGGGGCTATTCAGTGACCCACCCGTGCTGTTGAGTGGTTGAATGATATGTTCTTTCAGGATCTTGGCCATTGTAGATATTGAGTTGACACCACAGCCGCTGTCAGCCTGGGCAGATCTATTGCAAGGACTTTGGTAAAACCCGGGATTGATAGTCTCCACAAGCAAGGCCGTTGAAGTAGGGCTAAGCATTCATATTACATCGATACAACCTTATTAGACCGAGACGGGTTGCAGGAATCCTAGAGCAGGGGATGATGCAGTCATCTTTGGAAGTAACAGTATGTGCATGTGGTCAGTGAACTCTACCATGCAGTTTCCCGTATGCTGCATTGGTACGGCGCAGCGGCGGGCAACTGACCGGCTGATGCGGATGGCGAATATTTTTGTTCCTGACTGCAAGTTATGCTTCATTGGACAAAAGTACCAACTCGGCCTCGGATGAACACATGCATCAACGCGAACCTATCGTCTGCCTGAACTCGAAGACATGAAGCTGGAGATTGTGAGACCATACTGTATTTTGATATCCCCCGCCTCCAAGTGTGATGATACGTTGCATACCGAAGACCTAGGTGATTATAAGTTGGCTTACGCACTTCGCTTCGGAGCAGCTGCCATCACCGACGTGACACCATCCCCAAGTTCCTCGTCATCCTACCTAATCAGAATACCTCAACTCTCTCAAAGCCAAACTTGACATCCTCCACATTTAAGATGCTCTCCAACCTCATCAACCTTGTCCCAATGGCCCTCTTCGGCGGGGCCTTGGCAGCCCCCAGTCCCATCGACCCAGCGGTGCGCGTCTGCTACGCGACGGAGACGCCCAGCCAGCTGTGTTATACCGCACCTGACAACATCCCGCAAGACGTCCTCGTTGAGGACGTCCAGTTTATTGCGTCCTACCTGCGCTCGTACGGTGCCCAGATCAGGACCGGCCGCCTCTTCAACATGGCGGCTGCCGACGCGCCCGATTGCGGCGAGTGGCTCGTCTACGCCCACGGCACCGCGCAGGCCTTCGCCAAGCACATCAACAACACCGTCAACTCGAGCGTGCTCTTTGCTGACATCGCCACCACCATCGACGGCGGCGTCGGTGCCAGCGAGGCCCAGATTGCTGCCTCCCTGCTTGGGTGCGGCACCGACGGCGGGTCGCTCGGGGTGCTCGTCAACACCGCCAACCCGACTTACTCGGGCTCGACCTACCCTGCCGGCTATGTCACCGACGGCATCATCATCAAGATTGTGGCTTCGGGAGCGTAAGGCTGGAGCTTGTACATAGAGACCGGGGTCCCTCGGGGAACCCTGGATCCTGCAGATAGATAGCGAATTAGTACTCTTGGTGCTGCGCCCTTCCCGTGCCTCCCGTCTTTTGTGTGAACCATTCCAATAATTCTTCGCATTACACCCTTGCCATTAAATCCTTGTGGGGGCCGTCCAATGAAGCGACGGGAACCCGGTCACGTTCTTCCATTTTACCTGCATCTCGAGCATCAATGCTACCTCAACCATCGAGGTGCGGCAGCGAAGCTTAGCGATCTTTCCCCGGAAACTAAGGCGGGACAAGGCGGAATAAGCATTCCCCCTGCATTGGCACCCTGGGATGATGAGCTTGTCAGCAACCTAAGCCAAACAAGGCTCCAGCCGGTGACCACCCCGAGGGATTTCTCTTTTTCCACGGCTTACATCTTAAGACATGCAAGGCACACAGACACCCTGGTATAACAGAGTAAGCCGATCAAGATACGTGTTACCGCAACAGGAAGGTATCTGCTGTGCCTTTTGCTTGGCTTCCAGTTGCAGGGCTTAATCACGAGAACTATTCAATGTTACCTCACTCACACGATATTTCATTGCCTATTGATTCGCCCGTCACTTGCATATGTCAGCAGAGACACACACTCAGCGTATAGAACTGTCGAAAAAAAAGTCCCATTTCTGCGCCCCCGACACGCATGGCAGATTTGTGAATCCGTAAAATTAAATCACAACGTCCTACGGATACAAAAGTCCCTCCTTCAGATGACTTCTCGCGTTACATTCGGGTCTATGGAGGGTGAGTTCCTGGCTCCAGCGTTATCAGAAGTCCGTGAATAAGGCCGGTCATGCTTGCGTATGCCTGAGCGAATTCCATAGCCATTGACCCCACCAATGCGTTTGCCCTCCCGCCGTTTATCTTCTTCGTAACTTCGTTGTTTCTCGCATCAGACCTAGGAACGCCAGAGAGAACCAAGGTTGAATTACCTCTGAGCGTACACGAGATGGCGACAAACTCGTTTCTGCTGAGCCTGTTGGCGGGCATCCTCCTTCTCCTGTCATCTATTAACGTTGCGCGTGCAGACCTGGAGATCACCGATGTGTTTACAGTTCAAACAGGGGGAGATAGCACTGGCGGCTGCGATGCCCGTCTGAATCCCTTGTTGGACGACTGGCTCACTGAATCACTTTTCAGCCTCACTGCCGCTATAGATGCGGTGGACGCCTATGATCGACGGTTTGAAGTCCGCTACGCCATGCTGGCATTCTTTTCATTCGAAATTCAGGACACAATTGGCACCCAACAGGAAAATCCAACCAGGTATCGTACCTGGAACAAAATCAGACGTAAGAATTCTACACCAGCTTTGGCTCTTCTTCCGAATTTTCCACGGAAGTACCCGGCCCATCATGTCGTGTCTAGCTGACGTCGTGATCAGAGAATATGGCCGAGGTCAAGAATCTTTTAGAACACGACACAGTTCTTCCGGGCGGCGGTGAATTCAAGTTCCCCAAAGAAAGGTTCTGGCTCCATTGCCATAGTACCTTCCTGACGGAGCAGTCAAGTACGAGTCCAGCACTGGATTATGAGGGCAAAGAGATAAAGAAGGACGACAAAACCATCACCATCCAAGAGCTGGACGCTTACCAAAAAGCAATCGATAAGGAGCCAAACGTCAAACCGTGGTGGTCCGGCACGAACACGGACCAGAACGGCTACTACTTCTCGGAGGATGGCCGCAACTACTGCCAGGGCGATCACCTCGGTGTCACCGCGTCAATCAAGCTACTTCAAGCTGAGGGCGGCCAAGCTGTGACCAAACCTGAGATAGCCTCCGTCATCCTCTGTCCGTACGCCTTCGACAATACCAGGAACCCAGACAACTATCGCGATGCAAACGCCAAGCTGAAAAAGGACGTACGTCTGGAAGATGTCTTGCCCAAGAGTACAACCCTTGTCCACGAGGCCTTCCACGCCGTCCATGGGGACAAGTTCCTTGCGGGCAGCGATGAGAAATGTGCGTAGACTCCCAATCCATGTCTCCGTCTACGCGTTGCATAAATATTTGATCACTATGCTAACCTGAGACGTTCCAGATGGCATCATCGAATGCTTGACGATGAGTGGTGAAAACCAACAGAAAAACCCCGAAAATTACGTCTTTTTCATCGCCTATATGAATCACAGGTACGGCAAGGTTGATGCAGGAGAAGAAAGCGAACCTTGGGCTATTAACAAGCTTTGGGAAATGGGGGTTGGGTCCAAAAAAGACAGATTTGGGGCGGCCAGAGAAGTGACTTTTATCAATGATGATGATTGAGGGGCATGAATAGACGAAATCGACTTGGAGTTCTGTGTAGGCTGGATTGCCTCGTTATCAAGAAGAAGTAGTTTTGGTGCATTCAAAGCACTATTCTGTCGGACTCGGCTGAATCGACTCATTCAAAGTTTGCAAACATTTGACAAAGCCGTTTGTGCCTCGGCCACTGATCCGGTCCGAAGAGAGCATCTCAATGCTCTCGCAAATCAGAGACTGTACATCAGGACCCATATCGATACCGTTGCGCGTATGCTGTAGTACTATTGCCGCAGCGATGAATAACGAATGTGCCCGAGTCCACGTCAGATTGAAGACGAAATCAGCTTGGGATGACGCGGGAGTCGATGATCCGAGCAGACTACCCGCAGCACGCAGCAGTTCTATACAAGACAACATTTCCTCGTCATTCGATACAAAGCTCTGGTGGTGACCATCGGCCGCAGCTTTAGCGAGTAGTAAAGCCTCGCATTGCTGGAATGTTCCGCAAGCCCTGAAATATTGTTGGAGGCCGGCATCGTCATGAGGTGCGAAGGATCCGATGAAAAGGGCGTCAACTTGTGTGTTCCATTTGTCGATCCAAATGCGAATTTCATGAATATAACATGACATCCAGGAGCAGTCAGTCGTTCTTGACACGCTGAGATTATGTCCGGATGAAGTCCCGTGCTTGCCAATCATGTCTCGGTGAAAGCGACTCTTGAGCCGTGCAAGGTGGTACACCATTGATGGTAGGTCCATGTTCCCTGCTGCGGTCGATAGCCAGCCCGGCGAGCAAACCGAAAGTGTTTTGACGTCTGGGAGCTGAGACGGCCTGCCAAATGCTATCGCAGGCTGTGTCTCCAGGGAATACAGGGTGCGATAGAGCATGACGGTATCGCCAGGTTCTGTCTGGCCCGACCCGTGAACTTCGATGATGTCTAGGTACGTCCGCGAGGCATGTCCCAGTACCCTCCAAAGATCAATGGCACTTGGACAGAACCATGCGTAAATGCACAGAAGCAGCGTCGTTTGCAGTGACTGGTTGGTAGGATGAATGAACAGATCGCTGGAAGTACCACAAGACATGGCTTTGCTGAAGTACGCATCTGCAAACATCTGCAGCCTTTGATCCACAGGGCTCAGCAGCGCCAAGGAAATAGCGAGCATGAAGTGTAGACGAGTCTGCGCCAGGTTCTCATACTCCGTCGTCGCGGAGCTACCATTGTAGACTTGATCGAGGGTTTGAGAGATGAGTTCTTGGCCGAGGATTGGATAGGTAATTTCGATGGACCGGTAATAAATTGAGGTTAGATTCTGCGCCTCAGAGAGTGGCATTGTGCCTGTGGTGTCGACAGTGAGTGAGCTGCAAAGAGATTCAAATAATCTTGCTACTTGAGGCGTAGACGTCGTTGCATCACCAGCCGCAGGCAAGGAAACAGACCCTTGGATGACGTTTGCTAGGCGAACATATGAGCTTGTGGCGCCAAAGAAGACCGTATCACATGAGTTCTTTGCGCCTGAAGGGTTCTGAAACAGAATACTCGACAGAGAGGAGCTCTGTGAACAGCTAGTTTGCGCGTTGTTCTGCACCATTGGATCATCTGGGGGAACGTTGCCAGATTCAGGAGAGCGTGATAGCTCCTCAGTCTCGTTGATGAGCCGTTCCGCGTGTTGAATAAGGGCGTGAAGATGTCTGTGTTTATATTAGCCATTCGTCTCTATTATTCTTTCGTGGGAAGCATGTCCGTACTTCCGCGAAGTCTCTTCACCCAGTGCATTATCCCAGTAACAACAGTCCTTGCGAAGCTTTGTGCAATTTCGACATGCCGGGATGTCTGTGTCGCACTTGATCCTTCTCCGCTTACAGTGAGAACATATCGGTAATTTCTCCATTGCATTCCTAAGTTGAGCTTTGTCAACCATGCTTGCCGGTATTTGTTCTGATAACATGGAAGTAGGCTTTATAGAGGGCGCCGGCTGTTGACTGACTTCTAGTTGGGTATCCTCTAGGTCAATCGCTGTAGCATCAAAGCCCTCGATATTTGAATCGTCAAACAAATTAAAAAACTCAAGAATGTCGGCGCCGTTCTCAAATGAGAGGGAGTCGGCTCCAAAATCGGGGAACATCGCGTCTAATGTCGGATGAGCTGACGTATCTACCGGCTGCTCGCGGGCATAAAGAACGTCTGCATTCTCTCTGAACACCAGTTCCTTTAGCTGTCTGGCTTCGACCCCCAGACTCGAGTGCGAAGAGTTGTCGTCTCTGAAGAAGCTTAAAGGTCCCTTTCTTAATCGGTCGAACAGGGTACCACATTGTTGGGCTGCCGGCCATTGCTTGGCAAGGAGTATCTACTTGGCTCAGTATTTGGGCTCTGCCAGAGGACATGGGGGCTCTACGTACGAATATGCTGGATATCTGGTGCACAACCTCAAAGATTTGCGCGATTGTGTAGTTTCGTCGGATAAGAGAACGATAGTGCCACAAAGCATATAAAATCAGATTTCCAGCTTCGTAGCAACGATGAGTCGCGTGCCATGGATCGTCCAGATCATTGGAGATGATGAGCTCCCAATATCCCCTCACAGTGCACACAGCAGCTCTGAAGTATTTGAGAACAGACGCCTCAGCTGGGTTGGGTTTGCGCGCACAGGGCATATGGAGGATAAGCATCGTGTGCCACTCCATAGAGTTGCACATACTGGTAGAAACCACTCCGGCTTTGATCTCCCGGACTCGTCTCTCGACGTCAACTAGCCAATCCTCGTATGAGATGTTGCTATTAGAGATTGGACGCATTCCGATATTGACAGAACAAATTTCCGATTGGAGTCTTAGGAACTTGAGGGTATCATTGAACCCCAATTTAGAATGGGGAGCTAAAGGCTGGTCGTGTGACTCGTCTGAAGTGTGCAATATTAGTGACCCGTTGCAATCTGGATCATGCTCGGAAGAGGGAAACGGGAGATGAATCTGGTCCCCTGCCACAGCTAAAGGCCGGTGAGATGTGATTGCAATTGATCTCTCAATGCTGTAAAGCTAAGAAAGAGTTATTCGCATTCAATCAGCCAAGAAAGAAGACTTACTGTCCAGTACAGCCTCTTCCGATAATCAAGGATCTGTTCAGTCATGCCGCATTCTGACGTGGTGTCTTGGTGCAAACCGAGACCCAGAGCAACTCGCGCCGCATCTCCGACTACCTGCCAGAGGTTTGTAGAACCAGGAAAGAGAAAGCCGTACTGAGCAATCAGCAAGAGTTGCTGGATCGTTGTGGTCGTAGCTCCAGTCAAGCTCTGTTCCCAGTCCAAACGTGCGAAAGCATCACGCCTCAGCGACTCCGCTACTGAGACCAGTTTTCGGTAGTCTCTAGCCTTTGAGGTAAGTGTTGCAATAGCCATGACCATACATATTGTGAAATTTTCCTCTGATTTGACCTCCGCCTGATCGTTACTGGATTCTTTCAAGCGCTGGAATATTTCGAGCATTTCCTGCCTTGAGAACAACGGGTAGTGAGGTAGAATACGGTCGACATATACAATCATAAGCTGATTCGCAACTTCTTCTGGCAACCGAGTAAACGAATTTCCGTCATGGGTTGGAATGTTGACTGAGCGTTGTTCTTGAAATGCTAGTGGAAAAGGAAGCTCTGCGCCGAGGAAGAATACCCGAGAATACGGTAGTTTATGCTGATGATCTTCTTTCATCGATACCAAGGGCTCGCTTTCTCGCGCTGCATTGGCGGCCAACTCATACGCAGCAGTGAAATTGGCAGTCGACGTATTCGGGTTATCCAGAACAGGGCTTGTGCCAGTCTGTTGCGGTCGCATGAGTGCGAGATTTGAAATCGAAGCTGCTTGCCCTGTGACCAGTGCCTCTCTTTCGAGTTCTAATTGGGCAACGGCATCTTCAAGATACGAGACGAGACTATGTCGGGTGGAAGCTGTCAGTGAGCGGAGTCTTACAAAACGGGTGTGTATATGTGGTTTGTTCACCTGCGAGGAACCTCCGTCTCGGAACCTCTATCAAAACCAATGCATTGAGCCTTCGCACTGGTACATTGAGAGCATGAAGGATAAGTTCGATCGCACTTTGCAATGAATTAGTTGCTGTGGAGACATTTCACCATCAGATCATGGACATGGACCCGCCTTCTTCTTTCTTTTGTAACATCGCGCGCAAGAGTAAGAAGATCGCGTGCTTCTGACCATGATGTTTTAAAATTGACTTTTGTTCAAGTCCCGCAGTGGGTTGCGAAAATGTGACCAAACATAAGATAGCACTTCGGATGCAGATCGAGGATTGGGCCACGTGGAATCAATATATGGTCATGTAGATACGGACATCAGCCACTGCTCGCCCTCCTCAAATCTGGCACAAGGATGCCAAGGGAGGGGCTACTGATACCCGGGGTAATGTTATCAGTACCGGACGCTTCGACCTCGGATACAACCCTATCTTGATAGGCGACAATTAGACCGGGAATAAGACAAGCAAAGTGAATTGAACAAGCGAAGTTCTATCGAGTTATGCGGGTAGATTCCGCAATCGCAGAAGTTTTAAAGCATACGAGAAAGCTCCAAGAAATTATCAAATCTTATTCACCTTCGGTTACTTTCCCAAAGCCTTCATATCTCCCGCAGCGACGTCAATAGCCTTCTCGTCATTGGAAACGACGGATGCCGGTGAAGCCTCGATTACTTCCAACGTCTTGCTCTCTCGTCTTGTCAAGTACCAGACACCAAGTGTCGTCACAAAGAGGGACGCCCCCATGCACATCATGGCAATGCTTCCCTCCATCCAGTATGGCCCCTGAGTGGCGCTGTAGAAGATAAGCGACCAGAACATGTAAACAGCAATCGCAAAAGTGTTCATCGCTGCGAGAATTACAGCACGTTTAGCGTCGTCCTCGCGAGTGACGGCATTCGCCCAGGCAAATAGCACGGTCTGGCTAGCATACTGACAGCCATTGAGAAACAGGGCAAAGAACTTTGCTCCTCTCGTGGGAGGTTGCAACATGATGGCCCCCGAAACAATGGCTGTGGAAGAAAGGATGATCCCAACGTGCCAGTAGCGCTTAGTGAAGTCTGAGTACCAGCCAAGGAACAGCGTAGCAGCAATGCCGACTCCAGCAACGCCGGTCGGGATGTAATTGACCTGCTCCACGCTGTAGTCGCCGGTCGAGGAGAGCCAAAGATTCATGATGGCGTTTGTGGAGAACATTTCCGTGTTGCTGGCGAAGATCCATAGCAAGACAAAGCCCAGCCAGTGCCACGTCTTCAGGATGCGAGATACCAAACTCCAACCCAGAGTACCCCTATTTTTCTTGACTTCGGGGAGGCGATCGACGGCGAGTCTCTTCTCTTCATCAGTAAGCCACCAGGCGCGGATAGACGTCGGGGTGTCCGGAAACGCGACGAAGCCATACAGTGCAACAGGCAACGTTATGCAGAAGTCGATGGTGAATAGCCACCGCCATCCAGGCAGACCGCGAACACCATCTGTAGCGTATACCTTAGTACTCTGCTAGAAATATATGATGAAAGTCTTACCAAGACTCTTGTGGATACCCCCTTGCAAGAATCCAGAGAACATGGTTCCAGCCAGACCGCTGCTAGTGAAGATGGCTGTTCTCTTGCCGAGTTCGTCCTCCCGATACCAACTGCCGAGAATGTAATGACACCCAACAAAAGTTGATGATTCGAATACCGCCTGGAAGAATCGCAAGATCATAATCTGCCATGGGCGGTGAACAAGACCCGTTCCAAGTGTCAAAAGACCCCAAGCGATCATGCAGGCGGGAAAGTACAGGCGAGGTGGCAGCTTTTGCAACGCAAGGTTGTTGGGGATCTGTCCTAGCACATAGCCTCCGTAAAAGACTGCGATCATTAGCCACAATCATTGTCAACGAGACGGGAGAACTCAGTATACTGCTTACTTGTGTTGATAACGTTTAGTTGGTTACCTTGGAAGTCAAGGTCCTCTCGCATCCCGCTTACATAGGCATTATTCAGGTTCATACGATCGAGATAGTTGACCCAATACTAGTAGCTCCTATCAGTCATTTTTGGATCTTTGAAGATTGTACGCGAGGCACGTCTTACCATGAGACAACAAAAGGACAAGATGACGGTGTCAAGCTTGACGAGAAGTCGCCGTTCAGCACTGGTCGCTGCAGGCTTACCCCACACGATTTCCCGAAGCTTCGTCAAGAGAAACATGGCAAAGGATTGGTGGACAAAAATTGGTGGTTGTTACTCGAAATCGTTTCGGTGAACGGTTTCCCGAATGGGTTTCCAGGAATGACTTCAATAATTAAAAGTTGATGGCCTGCTCAGTCATGTGGCTGTCTCCTTGACTGTCTGGGGCCTTGCGGTGAAGTTCGGGTTCTCCACTTCTGTGTCGGATTAGAGCGCGCGCTATCTTCCCGTATCTCCTCACATCACATCGCTCATGCCACCACCCAGGATGCGATTAGCCGGGGGCAGTCGGAGACGGGCCGCTATCAAGTCGGCGTGCGCATCAGAGTATCAGTAGCACAGAATTGAAGGTTTCGAGTTAACCCGCCCGGTTCGCCACCTCGAGGAGCGTATTAGACATCCAAGAAGACCCCGCAATCTGAAGACAGACCAGCAGCGATCGAATCATCCGTTGAGTTGGGAGCGCACATCACCAGCAGACTAGAATACATACCAAATTAGCAAAGTCAAAATGCTCGATATCACCGTCACTGGAAATCATCACGAGGTGAGTGTTTCCCCTGATTACTTCGGGGGTTTTCAAGTGGTTAATCTTAATGCACACGCAGATTGGCCTGGCAGTTGGGCAACAGGCTGCAGCACAAGTTGCTGGGTCCATTGACTTCTACCGTGTGTTGTTCAAAGCTTTCAATGATCTGGAATGGTCCACTGTGCGGGAGCGAACGCTGGAGTTCGTGCCTCATCTCAAAGCCAAGTTTCCCCGCTACTACGAAGAAATGGAGGGAATTGCAGAGGGTGCCGGAGTAGACATTCTCGATGTCGTTGCTCTGAACATACGAAGTGAGATCGCTTTTGGGCTTTTTGAGGAGAACTCGAGACGGCCCATGGCGATCGCCGCGGTTGATGCCGCAGTGGACGGATGCACCACTTTAGGCTGGAAGACCCCCGGCGGATCGACCTTTCTCTCACAGAACTGGGACTGGAAGAGCAAGCAGAAGCCCAATATAATCATTCTGCGTGTTAAGCCACGAGGCGTACCGGATATGGATCTGCCTGCTTTCCAAATGATCACCGAAGCCGGAATTATTGGGAAGATTGGCTTCAACGAGCATGGTGTTGGATGCTTGCTCAACGGCATCCGTGCCAAAGGCGTTGACCCGGAACGCATGCCTATCCATTTTGCCCTTCGTATGATTCTCGAGTCCAAGTCAAAGAGAGAGGCATTGAACAAGATCGAAAGCGTGGGATTGGCCGGAAGACTCACCGAAACGTACCGCCCGCATGCAAGAACTTGCTACCCCCGAAGTTGGCAAGGAGGCTGGCTTCGATACTTTGCTAGAGTTGTTCAAAGATGAACAGAACTTTCCGGCATCCATCAATCGGAAGCAGTTTGGAAACAACGACTCTAACACAATTTTCAACGTAGTGTACAATCTGACGGAGAGGAAGGGCGTCATTTCAATCGGTCGAAGAACAGAGATTGAGGAGCAGATTGAGATTGGATTTTGATTTTGTAGCGAGTAGAGCAGTCAGGCTGTAGTCTAGTCGGCCACCCTTCGGGTCGGGCGGCTACAAACAATCGCTATCATCTCAAATCATTGTCTCTGTATAATAGCCACTCTTTAGTTTCACGTAAGCGGTTGAACAAGCTCCGCAATGGCGAGACTGAGTCTTCAAGTACCAACCAAAGTCGCAGTACTTAATAGCGGAGCAATGCGGTCCCAAAAAGCCCATGTAGTGTTTCCAGAATTGTGCCCGCGAACAGGGTGAACTTTGCCGTAGTCTTTTGCGGGCCGGGGGATTGCGTCGTAACTACAAACTCAAGCTTCATATCTGTCATGTCATTCTACAGGATCGTAGTGGAGCAGTCAGCCTGTGCTGGCTTGAATGATTCAATCTGAACTGGATGGGCTATTGAAGTCCACGACATTGAACGACTGCTGACACGGTTTCATCGTGGCAAAGATTACATCGAGTTGCTGAAGGAATTTGAGATCTCCGATTGAGAAAGATACCTCTAGTCACTAGAACTAACACCGGCTTGAATGGTTACTCCTGGCAACGTTCCTGCCTTGAACTCGTCGCAAACTTGGGCCATGGTAACGAACTCAACGCCTTCCTTCGTCTTCAAATACTCAATGAATCGCTCGTGCATCAACATGACGTTCGACTTTCCGCTAACCTGCGGGTGACAGCTGACACAGAACACGAAGGCGTCATACTCTCTGTAGAAGAAGTCAAATTGATCCTTCCACTGAACCTCGATGTCGCGTGGGTTGACAAATCCATGTGTCCCAGGACGTCTGGTGTAGTTCATTGGCGCTGTGAGCGTAGGTTAGCAGGAATTTGGAAGAGCGAAAGAGGATGAGACGTACGCCAGTCGTCCACGTTCCATGAACCAGGGATCTCAACCACCTTGGTGGGCTTGTGCTCTTTCATAGGCACCATCCAAGTATCCGGATCTTTGGAGTAGTCGGTGTGCACCAGCGACTCATCGGGAACGTCCGCGACATAGTATGGCTGTGTTACGGTCAGCTATCCGACAGTAGGGTCTGCTAACAGAAGCTGGGGATTGACACGTAGTAACAGTACACTGGGGTCGTGGTCTGGGTCGTAGGTCGTAGGCTTGTAGTAGATCAGGTCTTCAGAGGCTAAGGTGATCAG